TGTTCTTGAATTTTCACTGAAACTTTTCAAAATTAAATGTCGGCTATGCATCGTTTAGGGTAACAGATAAAGTTCCTCTGTAAGTAAATTTCTCTCATGTACAATAAGTTAGATCTATTCTGCAACCTAATTATTCGCATTGCAAATTAATTCTGCGTACCAGACTTCCTTCAAAGTGTTCCGTTCTAAAAATTGTATCAATTATAATTTTAGCTAACCATTCTATGAAAGCTATTCACCAGAAAGAAATAACAATTTATCTTGACAAACGCTAAGAGCAGGGCGGACTTAGGGGGGGGGGGTTGATCGGACGCCCCCCCCCCCCAGGGATTCGACCCCCTGTCGACCCAAAGGGTCCCCCCTTTGTACTATTTTGAGACATCCATTTTTTGTGACAGACCGAAAATTTTTCTAAAGACGCCTTTGGCGCCAATATATACTAATTCTGAGGGGGGAGCGCGCGCCGAAAAAACGCGAATTTTTGATAAAAATTTTCCAAGTGCTTGAAAACACCTTTTTTGGGCTGTTTTTTCAAAATTTTGCCTGCGGCGCAGACATTTAGGCCGAAACAGGGTCTTTGTAGTGCTTTGGAAGAGCTCAGAAAATCAATTTGAAAAAATCAACTTAAAAAAAAGAGAAAATCCTAGATGAGCCCCTGGCTAAAAGTGAAATGATAAGGTGATAAGGCCGTCTGAGATTTTGTGAAGTTTGAAAAAACTCTCAGCTTCAAAATGATTTTCAGGAACTATTTTTTCGCGGTTTGACTTGGAAGTGTAAAGGTCATAAAAAACGTGATTGACTTCTATTTTCGAAAACCAGATTTCAATTATCAGATTTCCCGGCGCAATAAAAGTTTTATCTATTGATTCAATTTTTCTCAAATTGGGTTAATTTTTCTTAAAACTGCCCGGCGTAAATTGCTCTAAGTATTCAAAAAGTTTTAAGGACATCTATTGTTTCTTGGAAATTCGAAAATTCAAAAAAAAACAATGTTTTTCTGTTTACTTGTGTTCACTGACTGTTTTCCAATTGTCTGGTGGCTATGTTTTGTATAAAGAAAATGAAGTTTCATCAAAAAATGACCTTGTGCGTTTCAGACTGCTGCCGGCAATGTTGGGGATTGCACTGGGAATAATCTACGGGGTAATATTCTTCATCTTACCAGAGAATTATGGAGACCTTCTGATTGAGGAACAGATGCTACTCAGAGAACGGGAGGATGAAGACAATATTCTAGGAAATTAAGACTAATTTTGAAAAGGGCGAGATTTTCAACTGCTGCTCCAACTCGAGTAAACATGCATTTAGTAAACTTGTTGTTCCGACTTTCGTAACGAAAGTAACGGAATATTTGTGCTCGCTGGGTTTTTTCTTCAGACAAGTTTCGACTTTTTAACTAGCCATTTTTGGCGGAATTTTTTTATCATTCAAAAAGTATTGTTGTCCTGAGCTTAAATTTGAAAAAATATCTCACCTGTGATCATTTTTCGTAAAGTTATGAGGGTTTAAAGTTGCCATTTTGGGACAATTAACGCGCGACATATTTCGCGCTCTTAACCCGTAAGCGGAGATTTAATCCGTCTTAGAAATCATTCCAAATTGGTTGAAAGAAGATTATATGCCATAATTGATTTGTTGCTAGGAACGAAATCTGTCCTTTCATACTTTATTTTGCGTGTGGGGGGATGAGTGTCAAAAAAATCGCAAATTTCAGAAAAAAATTTCATTTTATTTTGTTACATTTAATTTTTTTAATGTTTTTAGAGCTCCATAAACCTTAAAAGGCAGTCGGAACATTCAGGGCTTTGCCCTGATACGAGCAGTTTTGTTGTATTTCCAACTAAGAACGCGTTGACATAAAGCGGGTATAAAAATTTCAATTTGCCCCAATTTGAAGTTTTGTTTTAGGAAATTTTAATGACTGCTGATTGATTGTTGTTGTGATTACTAAAATCAATATTAAAATGATTCAGAAAATTTAACAATGATTGGAACCGAACTGTTTTTTCAGAGTATTCAATACTTGCCAGAGGGATGTCTGGCTCTGAAAAAAATTTCATTTATGTTTTTTCAACTAAGTGCGAGGAGATATGAAGGCAAGAACTAAGTATATTATCAATGAGTGCGTAGTGGCAATTGACATCCTACAGCCTATGCAATCTTCTGTTTCTGTGAAATGCTGATCAAAATGCGTCATTGTGATGGGCACTTGATAAAATTTTGAAAAACAACACTAATGAATCATCTTCTACTAACATTTGAGGCTTCATCGCTTTCATATAAGCTTTAAAAAAATTTAGAACGCCAGCCCATACATTTCACGCTTTGAGTGTTGCGAAATTTTTGCCTTATTTATGTATTCCATATATTTTTGTCAAATTACATTCACAGAAAATGATCTAATCTTTAAGCTGCGTGGACTTCTCCGCTTGATAAATTTCGTTCCTTAAAACAAATGATTGATGACCATTTTATCCAACATAATTCATATTGACAAAAAAGTTATATGAATCATGTTGTATAAAAAATGTAATGAGTCCGAGTAATAATTGATCGATATTTTAAATCATCTGAAAGCTATTGATGTCCCGAGCTCATAATTCAATTTATATTTAGCTTGCGAACATTTATTTTTGGGGTTTGAAAATTTCCAATTTGTTGCAACATTTTTCGTCCTATCAAAGCATAAGTGGCAACCAAGACTGCCCGTATATCAGGGCAAACACCTTAATGTTCCGAATGTTCCTTAGTTCATATCGAATAGTTTTTTGAAAAAATATTGAAAACCTGTCAATTTTGGACAATATCAAAGCGTGAAATGTTGATTCGTGCGAATTTGATACGACCGGTCTGATTAGCTAGCCTCAATTCAATTTGAAACAATTTTGTCGAATGGGATAATTCGCCACGCATGAAGCTTCGCCAGCATTATGAATAGACTATTCAAAGCGCGCATAGTTAAGTCCAGAACATGGACAATTTGGCAATTTTCAAACCTCCAGAACTTTATAAAAAATAACTGGAGGTAAAATATCTTTTTATATTAGAACTCAAAAAGTAAATTTTTTTATTGAGGTATAAAAATTTTTGTTGAAAACGTTCATTTCGATCGCCGAAAATTGACTGAATAAAAAAATCACTCTTCAAAAATTGGAACAAAAAATTCTTCTAAGCGCGCATAACTTAGTCCACAGCATGGCCGATCACCCAGAATTTTCAAACACCCAGAACTAAAAAAAAAATAATCGGAGGTTACATATTTTTTTAAATTTGAACTCAGAAAGTTGATATCTTCAATGGGGTATAAAAATTTTTCTCGAAAACTATTATTTCATTCGGTGAAAATTGACTGAATAAAAAACCCACACCGAGCATAAATATTCCGTTTTCTTCGAAACTTGAATTGAATCCTTCCAAATTGAATTGAGGCAGATAAATTGGTTTAGCAATTTGGTGAAAAACATGGAAAATCAATTAAGATTTTAAATAGGTCTATTTTTTGCTCTTTTTTCATGTTTTTCAAATGAAAACTTTTTGCTTAGGACCTAAAAAGGCAGTCGGAAAATCCAAAGCTTCACCCTGATACAAAAAGTATTTTGTTTACACGACGTTTACAATTATTAGCAAGCAACAATTTGAAGCAACCCTAACAAGAATGCTTACCTAACAAGAATGCCAAATAGGGGTTCTTGTTAATATTTGCTAACGAGAACCCCTATTTCGGAAAACTCTTGCGTGTTAAAAGCATAAAAGCACTATCGGGGGTCAACTGTCCTATATAAGCCATATTTAAGCCCTCTTTACAAAAATTTAGCATAGGTGAAACATTTTTTATAAAATTGTGCACGCCAGTATTTTTCAGGTAGTATTAAAAAAATCCTAGGGAAGATGGCCATGTGTAACTCGAATTTTTTCTGAAAAAAAATCTGCACTGAGCACAAATATTTGCAATCCTTTCTTCAAGAATCAGAAAACTAATTAAATCAAGTTGTTTCTGCTGAACAGCTCTCCCGTGTTGAGAACACAAAAAAAGTCATACAGTTTCCATGTTATAGGGCAAACGTTTAATACATTTAAAAGTTTGCTTGAAATTAATATGACTTCTTAACAATCTTCCATTGCATAGAATTTCATGACAATTATTCTTCCATAAAAAATGAAAACTCAGTTTTTTGATAAAATATTTTTCATCCATTTTTTGCATTAGTTGCGTAGCATGACAATTATCTTGGACTTTTATTTTTCAATAAATTTCAGTGTCGCCATGCAAAAAATCCAACTCATATAACACAAAAATAGAATCGTGTGAATAGCATTTTTGGTTGATGAAGGTCAAACCAAATGGCAAGGAATAGTAGATTTTTTTTGATATGCTACGAATATTACGAAATGATGCACTATCAGGCAGAAAATTCAAAGGTTGGCGATAGGAAGTTGCATGAAACTAATCGGAAATGCAAAATCTTTAGTTTATCTAAAACGTTGCTTCCATGCATTCTATAAAATAACCACTTGATGTTTTTAATAAGAGAAAAAATAGATGAAGCTTCAAACATTTTTTTGGTTCAGACGCAAGCTTACTTTTTTTTCAAACTTCTGATGATAAAATTTTACGCTTGGCTCTTTTCCAGCTTTTACAAACAAAAGTTATAACAAAAGTTCACATTTGAAAAAATCAAATGTGTTTCTGTTTTAAATGATAAAAAAAGTACTTTTGCGCTTTAGTAAAAGAAATCTAGTTAACGGTTCCAAGTCGAATCTAACTACTACTGCATAAATCTCGAAAAAAAAACATGCTTAAAGCTATGCATTAAAAGCTCGATGCTTCTAAACTAGTGAACTGTTTTCCGTTGCATCGAGCTAATATTGCATATTTTAGAGCTCTTAATTGTAAGATCTATGAAATCGGAGTGATTAACGTTTTTGAACAGCTCGGTAGATTTTTAACCAATAAACTTGAAATGAAAAAAGTCAGAAACTATTCGACTAAATAGAAAAACTTTTAAAAAACGCATTTAAATTTGTAAGAAATTATACTACAGAAATTTACAAAATGGTAATTTGAACTAGGATGTATAACAAAAGCTATCTTTATAGAAGATGATTATTGCCCATAGTAAAGTCTATACACGGTGTTTTATCCCGTCGACTTAACGACACTCAATTTTCTTCTTGTTTTTCTGTTTCCTCACTTTGTTCAGATGCCCACAGAGTTAAATTGTCTCGCAGCAACTGCATGATGAGTGTCGCGTCTTTATAACTATCTTCTCCGACATTGTCCAAGTACGCAATGGCGTCATCAAATGCTTGTTTTGCCAACTCACAAGCATCTTGTGGTCGCTTTAAGATCTCGTATTGAAATACGGAGTAGTTTAGAAATAGGCCCAGCCTCACAGGATGTGTGGCATTTAGCTTGGAAGCATGCTCCGCTGCTTGTTTATAAGCTTCTGCCGCTTTCTGAGTAGATGAGTTATTTTCGGGATCACTTTCGTCGCTTTTAATTTCGGCCGAATACCTATGATAGTCGCCTTTCATTTTAAGATAGAAAACAAGACTAACAACTAATTCAGAGGAATCTTTCTGAGATTCTTCTTTCAACTTTTTCTCCGCATTCGGAACAAGGTGATTTTCAACAAGGTCCAAGACTTCAACGCAAAGTTCTTCCAGCTCTTTTTCAACCTGCTCGCGATAATTTTTCATAACTTGTGAGTTTATACCAGCCACTTGCCGCTCTTCGATATTCGAAATGACTCTCCAAGCAGCTCTTCGTGACCCGACTGCGTTTTTGTAGGCTACCGAAAGCAGATTTCGTTCTTCTGGCGTTGTAGTTGCGGAATCGTCCATGAGTTTTATGGCCCCTTTCATGAATTCAGCCATGTCTTCAAATCGATCAGCCTGTTCGGCTAAGATGGCTTTCTGCACTAACTGATCACGATCCATTATGAAGAAAAATTTGACCACAATTTGAGATGAAAATACTCAATTTGTAATCATGGGTTATCTGGAAAAAAAATATCTTTTGAAATTCGGAGATAAAAGAATTGTCGGAAATAAAGAGCTGTTGGTTTGCATCTTTTAGCCGCCAAGTATCAAATTAATTTTTTCGATGTATCTTGTTAAGTTTGCTGTTGAAATGTTAGTCTGTATATATGACTACATAGAAACCGAATCTTTAAATTTCGTTATCTTCCCTACCCAAGAAAACGGAAAAAATTTGAAAATGAAAAAAAAAACAGCCATTTTAAACAACTATTTTTCAATCAATGAAATTGAAATTTATGAGCTTTTTGCTTGTTTTTTCTTGTTTCTTCTAAAGTTAAAGCTTTAAAATTGTACGTCAAGTGTTGCTTTGTACAAAAAACGTAACGTAACTATTGAAGTAGTCTTGAATGGTTAATTTATTAAAAATATATTGAATTAATTCGCAAAACTTGGTTTACTAGGAGAGCTATTCTGAAACACAAAGCATCGCTGGTTGAAATTTAAATCAAGGTCAACTCGAGTAACTGTTTTTAAAGACATTGTTTTAAACAGAAATCGCATAGCGAAAAATCGACCAGCTTTTGAGTTGACCAAGCTTTTATTTCAAAACTAGATATGTGATTTTTTGAGCACAAAATAAACTTCGAATGGGATACATTTCCATAAAATAGAATGTCAGGACATAAGCTAGCTTTTATATGTTTTGGCAAACAGGAAGATTTTGAACAAAGCGAGTATTTTCACGCAAACCAGTGCGTTTCAAATGTTACTTACTACATGAAAGCACTTCAGAGAATGAGCACGCATTTTGTGACTTGTGAGTTAAGCTGCAGATAAAGTTTTTAATGAGATAAGACTTTTGGCTCTCTTTCTTCCTTTAAGGGCAATAATTAAATATCTAGGTGCAAGGATTAATATTTGGTTAAGCAGCCTGTTTTCTATGCGCAATTTTAGAAATATGTTTAGGAAAAAGAGCCAAAAAGAACTTCTTCTCCTTTTTAGAAAAAGAGCCAAAAAGAACTTCTTCTCCTTTTTAGAAAAAGAGCCAAAAAGAACTTCTTCTTTTTAGAAAAATAGCCAAGAAGAACTTCTTCTCCTTTTTAGAAAAAGAGCCAAAAAGAACTTCTTCTTTTTAGAAAAATAGCCAAGAAGAACTTCTTCTCCTTTTTAGAAAAAGAGCCAAAAAGAACTTCTTCTCCTTTTTAGAAAAAGAGCCAAAAAGAACTTCTTCTTTTTAGAAAAATAGCCAAGAAGAACTTCTTCTCCTTTTTAGAAAAAGAGCCAAAAAGAACTTCTTCTTTTTAGAAAAATAGCCAAGAAGAACTTCTTCTCCTTTTTAGAAAAAGAGCCAAAAAGAACTGGTTATCGCGTATTTGTGAATAAAAGTATTCGAAAGTTGTTATTTTTGCTTTCTTCTGCCATCTGACCACCGACTGATGCAGATTATTTCCTACTGGTAGCCGACCAGTCGAGTGATAGTGGGGAACCTAGTCCTCAGAGTCATGCACTTCTCTCTATCGATGAAGAGCGAGTCTTGTTTGTAGGCAATCTCAGTCTCCAACTCCCTCCTAGTGCCCATCAAGTCAGATCTGCTCTGATTGGCCTCGTCCAGCTTGTTATTCAGGGCAGCTATAGACGCTTTGATCTCTTCAACTTCTTCCAACAGTCTGAAAACAATTTAGATATTTTTAACTGCCCATATGCTTAACCATTTTGTAAATCCTTTATAAAGCTGGCTAACTGTTACTAGTACCCATAGGGGGGTAGATAAAGATACAACAAAATCAACTCATCCATAACAGACAAAAGTGTCAAGGAACTCAAGGAGAGACTGATCAAACAATTGATTGATTTTTAAAAACCATTTTCATCTTTCGAGTGTCAAAGAAAAAATTATGGCCCCTAAGCTCTTCGATTTTCAAGATTCAATTGTGATTGGAGCTTTTTTGATGAAAATAATCCCAATACAAAAAACTGAATCAATAGGTAACATTTTTATTAGGCTAGGAAGTCTAAAAATGAAAATCCACTTGGAAACTAGAAAACAATTGAACTTTCATAGTTGGAGAGCATAAATTGCCTTCGTTTAAGCAAATGTATTCAAATTGAACTTTTAAAATGCATATAAACGTAAATGCATTCATAAATAAATTAATATGTACGAATACACTTCTGTACTTATTAGAACATTTTATGATTTTCTGAAAAATGAAACAAAAAAATTAACTTATAAGTGTCTTCACTGACCCCATTGATACTTAACAAGAGTCAAAGCTCATATTCACCTTAGCCAACTTTCTTTTGAGTGCTTACGTGAAATTCAAAGCTGATATTAGCTTTATTGAAAAATGTTACTAAATTGCGTTGCATATTAAGCCGCTACAATAATTTTATTTCGAACATTGAAAATGGAGAGGAAAGTTCCAGTCGGTTGTGTTTTAGCTCTCATTTTCTTTTTTTTTGGTTTTTTACACGCAAAATCAGATACCACAAATAATCATCGGAATGGGTAGAGTGATATTAGCCCTTTCAGTCATGCATGATTCAAACGACATTAGAAAAATTTTCTCTGGTTGGACCCAGTGTTAAAAAAAATGGTTGAAAATGTTGAAGTTTTTGTTCAATTTCGAGCGAGAAAGGCAAGTGTGAAAGGCTTATAATAGAAGGATAAGCCCTATAACTTTTATTCAAACGAAAATGTATAATTTTACTCTAGTAAAATAGTTTTTCAAGTCTTTTTAGCGCTATGTTGGGAAAAACTTTTTCATAAACGCAAGAAATGTCGAAAAAAAAATATTTGGACAAGTTATCTGAATTTTAATTTGTGTTTCTAGTCATTGAACGACTAAAACTATTGTATAATTTACCTGTTTTACTATGATTGCCCACTATGCCCCAGTTCTATGCTTTCGCTTAGAATCTTTTATCACACCACGGACAAAAAACGTCACTGATTTGAAAAAAAAAATAGAAATATGCTTGTTATACTATGGTTTTGACTGCACAGAAACTTTGTTCAGATATATTTTCCCACTAAAATTTTGGAACCACAAATACAAACCCCAAAAACGTACGTCCTGTTATAATATTCGCATGCTTGTTATATTATCCTTGAGACCACACAGGAACTTTACTCAGTGTGTTCTCTCCACAAAATTTCGAACCAAAAATACACGTTCCAAAAAAATACATAGATTCCAAATTGTTGACAGTTGATGAGTGGTTTTCATGATTTACCAATGCATTTCATTTCAAATCAACCCCTACTTTGATCAAGGGAAAAATTGATTCCGGTGCTTAAATTCCATCGTAAAATGGGCACTCAAAAATTTATTCCCAAAAAAGTATAGCTTTCACGTTTTTCTATCAGAGGAAAATACAAAAAACTAAATAAAAAATATTTAAGCCACAAATATATCCGGTTGTTGTGCAACTAGCACATTCCGAGCAAAATAATCAAAGATTGAATCATAAGAGAAAAAAATGAAAATGAACAAAAAATTTCATGACTTTTTCCATTTTTTTCTTTTTTCCCTAAATTTTTTGTTGGTTTTTCGAGAAAAAAAGATCAAATCATTTGAAGACCGCAAAAATGAGATGTGATAATTACTGAAATAATGTATAAATCGCAGTACAACTAAAGTGAGAGTTCAGTCACACATCGTGTTGTTCGCAATATTTGTAATACACGCTCAGACCAACTTTTTATCCCTTACAAGTTTTCCTTGAGGTACATAGAATGGGAGGAAAAAAACATACGCTACGCCACAGTTCCTTCTTACTTCGAGAGCTGCTCGGATAAAGATCCTACAAGACTTATTTTCAGGTTTCGGAGAAGAACCCTTTATCAGGGACATATTTAGAATTTTTACAAGGGACGGTGAGGGAGGTTATTTTTTGGAGGTCGACTAAGTTGAATTTCTGAGCTCTATTCAAACATCCTTTAAATATGATATTCTCTTTTCGGGCACCTATAAAGATCATAACCTGTTTTTGGCAAAGCGCGTATTAATATTTCACCTTTTAATTATGCGTTGGCGCAGGGACCCTTTTGAAAAAGTTTTTGGGGCAGGTCAGCCAAAAACTGATGTGATGAAGAAGAATAAAATTATGAAAAAAACTTTCTTATAGCTAAGAAAAAATGAAGAGACAAAAAGGAGATTTTTTTACAAAATCGATGACCAAAAATTTACTGAAAAACGGAACCAATATCACTCTATCATTCATAGTATATCAAAAGCGCGTTATTAATGTGATAAGAATCGAGTACTTTTTAGAATATTCCATGCTGGGACAAATAAGTCGACAAAAACAAAACAAGAAAAACAAAACAAGCAGATACACATTAATCTGAAAATTAAAGCTGAAGCTGAAAATTTTTGATCTGAAAAAGTATTGGTCATGTCCAGACTCGAACCAATGATCTCTGTTCTCTAAAATAAGGAATTTTTTGAAGCAGGTTAATGCGCAGAACAGCTTTTTGTTTCCAGTATTATTTCACGGCAACACAAGTTGCGAATGGTTCACTGACTCTGCTAAATAAGTTGTATGCCAAACTAACACTATGCTTCAATTTGATAGCGCTCGCTTATAGCAAGCGAAGTACTGATGACGTTGAAAACTCTTTGTGGTTAAGTAATGTTCAAAAGAGAACATGACAAAAAAACGACAGAAGCTAAATTTAATGAAGTCAGTACACATTAAGCGCCTAATGGCAAAACGAAAAATAAGTTTAGCCAATGCTTGAAGTTTTTTGAAAAAAAAAATTGCGGGCTAATTTCATGATGAAGAGACCCAATGATGAGAAATTTCAACAATTCAAAATCGTTAGACATTCCTATTCACAGAATGATTTCTGCACTAAATCGAAGTCAAATCAGCAGAAAAAGAGTTTTAGCAGCAAATTTGTTTTAGCTGGACAATTTGTACAATTTTAATTACTGTTTTTTTTTTAAAAATCAGTAAAAATTAGTTATTACGGTTTTTACAATGCATCATAGATCAGACAATAATTGAAAAATAATTTAACTGCTTCTTTTGAAGTCGGTCGACTTTAATACTAAATTCTGATTGGCTGAAGTTAACTCTCCGTCATTCGGTTCCTCTATCATAAGGGACGCCACCAAAAAAATCTACCAAAATTTACAAAATGTCCCAAACATGCAAAAATGACAAGTATACCTGCGCTGAGCGGGATCGTCACAGAGTTCATTGTTAGGTCTGTGTGTCCTGTACTCCAGTCTGCTCTGGGCCACCTTCATAGGCTCCTCCTTCTCCCGAATAGCCAGCTTCAGATCCTCTATGTTCTTCTCCTGTGACGTAATCTCCACACACGTCTGCACAGAAAAATCACGAACATCACCACTTTTATTCAATGACGTCATACTTTTTATTCTAGTAGTTAGTACGAATGAACTATTTCAAAAAAATTCAGTCAAAATGAAGTACATAAAGCGCGATTAAAGCACTAAAAACTTGCTTCATAACAAAAATCAAGAGTTCAAATAGGTATCCAGGTCAAGCAGATATCGTGCAAATATCAAGAAAACGGATTATTCTATTCATGCATTAATTTTTCAAAAGATCAGATTAGAGAAGTGACTGAATTTGACATTTCATCAATTAAATTATATTTTCTCTAAAGGCTAAATATTTATTTAGGAAAACACGTTTTAATAAATTCTGATCAGGCTGTTCTACCGTTTCGCCCAGCTGCGATCTTCTTTATAAATTTCACTGGCTCTTTTCCATAATGGAGGGCTATCATGGAAAACTTTCGTTCTTTGAAATTTCGTTCGCATATTAATTATTCACCAAATTAAAACAAATTTCGCCTTGTGAAATTTAACGATGCAGAGCCCAAGTCAAATTCGAAAACATCATCATCTCAGACAAAGTTCGAACAATTCGAAAAAAATTTATTGTTCCGACCATTGAAAATGGGGATGAACTTTGTATTCGGGTGTGTTTTAATTTTTTTTGTTTTCCATGCAAAATCAGGTACCACAAATAATCATCGGACTGGGTTGAGTGATATATCATAATAAAACCCTTACAGTCGTGATTCAAACCACCTTAAAACAACTCAAAAAACTTTTCCCAGGTCAAGAAAAATATTTCGCGCGAATAAAGCGAGCGAGCAGTGTTATTTTAATTGCTTAAAAGCTTACCATAGCTTAATTTGAAACGTAAAAACTTAGTTTTACTTGAGTAACGTTTGTCTACATAAAAAATTTTAGCGCCTTTTTGCAATCAAATTTTTCAAAAACTCGAAAAAAAACTGCAAAAAAAAAACTTTTTTTTTCGTGTTTTTAGTAATTTTTCTACAAAAATTAATTTTCAATTTGCTTATTTTACTATGACTATCGAATATACCTAATCCCCAGTTTTTTGTACAGCTCCGTTCATCACACCACGCCGAAAAAAAACTACAATAATTTGAAAAAACTTTGTTGTAATTTTTTAAGACTATGGTCGGAACATTCTGTGCTACTTCCACTGTAACCGGCTATCCTTGTTTCAATTTTTCTCAACCTTTTTTCCTGATTTTTTGAGGATACGCAAATTGAAGCTTCAAACGCTTCAAGAACTAGCTCCAAAAATTTGTTTTCCATTTGTCTTGAAATTTTCAAACCTGTCTTTCTCAACACCGAGAAAATTTTTTTAACATCGATCGTATCTCAACTTTCTTTGTGGGAACTGATATTTTTCCCAGAAACTATAATTTTTAAGTACTTGTCGCACGAAAAGGAAACGTTCCTTCCTACTTTATAAGGTCGGAACAAAAGTTTGGAGTTTTTAGAATTTATGAAAGAATATTAGCAACGGCAGCTTATTGAATCAGCTGCCCTTTGATTTGTTTCGCATAATTTTCCGGTGTGTAGGGAATTAAAGAGAACATTTAGCGAGACCTAAGAGAAGATGGAATGATTTTGAGCCTGGATTGAACAGCTCAGGGGGCGCATCTAGGTTTTTCCCATAGGGGTGGGGGCGATTTGGCGGATTTCAAAATTTTAATGACCTTGTTTTTAGGTCGATCAAATTGATTTTCCGAGCTCTCACAAATCAGTCACTATAAATACCCTATTTTGACCGCATTTTGCGCGCGCAGGCGAAATTTTGAAAACAAAACAGACCAAAAAAAAAGAATTTTGAACACTTTTTGAAAAATTTTGACAAAAAAATTTCGTTATTTCCTCGGCTTTAGAAAAAATTTGGGGTCGCGTCAGCCAAAAACGGAGATCTTAAAAAGGGGGACCCTTTGGGTCGGCAGGGGGTCGAATCCCTGAGAGGTGACGAGCGTCCGTCCCTCGCCCGCCTTAATCCGCTGGTGGAACAGCTGCAAACAAATATTGGGCTATCAATAAGCTGAGCACCGTAAAAAAATTTTCAGTCCCAACAGAACAGATTGGCAGTTTTAATACCCCCTAAAATATACAAAACAAATCCTAGTCATACTATTCTTATGTACTGAAAATTAAAAATTGTTCATCATAAAGATTTTAATCAAATTGCAGTGCGTAGGGAATTATATGGAGCAAGTATGAAAAGAAGTTTTCCATTTATGGAAATTGAATCATTAGAAACTTTGGCCGACCCGGGTTTACAATCATGATTCAATTGAAAATTAAAACTTTCCCAAGTTCGATAACAACCGATTTCAAAATTTTACAATTTTAAAATAAGTTATACCGATTAAAGAAAATGAGTAGAACAAAAAGCATTTAAGCAAGCTATAAAACTCCTTTTTTAGCTTTACAAATTCAAAGTTCGGAGCTTCAACTGCAGATTCGACGACAGCGCAATTTTACTACACATATATTATTATTACTATTTGTTTATGGATTCAACAAAATCTTCTGGATTCGCAAATTTTGTTTCGGATGCCGAAAATTCGGCTGCTTTTGGACAGACGCAATCAAAACGATCAAAAAAAATTGCAGTGCTGTGCATTCCGCGACAAATCTGTTTTCAGTTTGTTGCGGAATCCGTATACAATCAAAAAATACCTAAAATTGCCTCGTATTTTTCTTGTTATGGGTTTTGCAAATTTAACTGTAGTCAGCTATAAAGCCATTGCAAACTTTTGCGAAAAAACTAAATGAAATATCACTTATACCAGAATTTTTTGTGCTAGATGCAAATCAACCGATTAGACTTTTTTATAAGCCTTTGAACTCAAAGCAGTTTTAAGTGTTTGTTTGGGCTTTAAAAAATTCAATTCAACTTGCTTTTAAATTCAACGTTTTTGAATTTCACGAGCATCGCACTTCAGTTGATATTTTTGCGATTTTTTTGAGTATCATCAAAATAACTTTTATGTAATCTATTGATTTTTATAGAAAACTTAAAATCGGGAACCGACCGAAGCACATTACGTTGGAACAGAGGTGGTCTACCAAGTACAAGATTTGCAAAACGAAAGCCTTGATACCTAAAACTGAACTTTTGCTCGGTTAAGTAATAAATTAATCTCGCGTCTTTGATACAATAAGCTTTCATTATTCAATGTTAAAACCTTATTCTTTTAAGCTCTCTCTGATAAATCTTTAATTCTTCAAAATCGCAATATAAATACAAGGACTATCTTATCGCAAATAATGGCTGTTAAAAACATATTATTGCTCTGAAAAAAAACTACAGGCGTGCTTCATGTTGTATATGGTACCAGTTTTTTCAGTACCAACGTTGGATGAAAATGAAAAACCGTAACGAATATAATAAAATCAAACAAAAGAAAAACAATTGAACAACAATCAAGTGCTCACTCAGATCACAAAAATGAGAGACACAGTCTATCAAATAAAAAGGCATTTGATTGCTTGGCGACTTCAACTTTTTAATCAAACTTTAGCACAATTAGAAAGTTATTTAAGCCTATAAAAATTCGAAAAATAACAGAAAATGTGGTTTGAAATTTTGTCAGAGTAATTTGAGGCAACGAACTGTTTAGAATCAAAACAACGAGCACGGAGATAATATACATACTCTGACGGGTATAACTAATTGCTCGACTCCTGCATGAAAACTTTTCGTACAATGAATTTTTAAATGTCAATTCATTTCTTTTCACTAGAATTTCAAACATCTGCTGATAAAATCTCTTGAAAAGTTAAAAAAATAATAAAACTGAATCACTCTATTGCGGAAAAAAAAGAATTATTTTTTCACGGCTCAATTTAAAACTCAATTGACAACCTTTGAATTGTTTTCTCGCTTTCAAAACGAAAAGTCACCAAAAATAACTGCGTGAAAAGCAAGTTTTGGCCAATGAAAATTTTAAACTAGTACAAAAACTGAAGGCCATTCAAAGCGTCACAATTATGAATCTGGCCAGCCGACAATTAAAACTAAAACAAAACTGATACTTTACAATGTGTTTGATAAAGCTTGAATTGCCCCCTGCGCAGAGAGTTTCCTCTTAACAGTTTTCTAAAACTACTTTTTGATTATCTTACACTACCTACTGCGCAGTCGCCAAAAATTAGGAAACCTATTAGAATTAATCGAACACAAAACATAAAAAACTCAACTACACTTCGCCTTACAAGTTGAAAAAATAGGTCGGGTTTCTAAAATGAAGCATATTTTCAAACAAAATTGGCACCTTCTTCAAGTGGTCCTCCAGCTTCCTCTTGGCATCATGCATCTCCTCGACCCTGTGGGCGAATGCCTTGTCAACTGTGTTGGCCTGCTCTCTCTGGTCATTGCCCACATCTGTCAGCACATCCTCAATCAGACCCCTCAGTTGAATAGAGGCCATCCTCTCGTTCTCAGCTGCCATGATATTGTCATGCGTCAGTTGGGCCCAGTCTTCAGGCATGGTATTGCTGCAACAAAACAAAAGCACTCATTTTGTTAGCCTGAAGGCTTAAATCACAATGATCACAGAAGTTGTTTTCAACGCAAACTTGAGTATCATTCCTTAGTAGCAAAATGCCACGTTAATCGAACAAAAATCCAGGATGCATTTACGGCAACGTAAAAATTGCCTAACCAAAGAACACGGCCAACAGAAACAGACAGTTGAAAAGGTGCCAACTCGGGAAAACCAAAAAAAAATTATATTTGAGAAATTCTTATTGAAAAACAAAGATAGCCAATTGTTCTGCGAGTAGCACAAAAATTTCCGACCAAAGTCATAAAGAACGAAAACCAATTCATATAAATTCAAAATTATTTTTGCAATTTATATAAATTTTCTGTTATTTTCTTTTTCTAGAAACAGCTATTAAATTAGGATACAACGCAAGAAACATCGCTAGTTATAATTAAACGCGGAAGCGAAGCTTCGCTTCGCAAACACTTGCGAGAACACGATAAAAAGCAGCTCTATAAAGTGCAATAACAAAAATTAGAAATAATCCTCGAATTAGCAAATTTCGTCTACCTCTCAGATGCGAACCTGAGAACTAGAGATTAAGTCTGACACAATAACCACTAAGCCACGGAAGCTTAATTGGTACCATTAACCACTCAGTCACAAATAAAGCAGAGAACAGATGCTATGCAAATTCCAATGCTACAGTGAAATTTTGAAATAAGTGAACACCTCTAATGAACACTTCTATTTGCGAATTAGGTTAGAAAAACGAAGGTTCGTAATAACACAATAAACCGATCGCAAATATATTTAACGTTACAATTGGAAGCTCGGCCTCTCATGACATTTTGTGTTAACTAGGTCCGAAAAAAAAAATTCAGACCAGTTTTTCTCGACACAGGGAGAAGGTTCGCAGTTTTGTTTTTAAAAAACCTAGGTCAGGACAAAAAGGCTATGAAATAATACCTAACTGGACACATACGAGCCACCCAATTTATACAAAAATAGCGAGTAACGCAGAATAGTTAGAGCCGTTCACATTAAACGTTTTTCTTCTTCAAATTACTCTCGTTTTCAATGATGCGACGAGATAATTTTACAATTGCGTAGAAAGTTAGCGAATTAGATATAATCGACAATCTTTTTTCAAAAAATGAATGACAAAAACAAAATGACAAATTTTCAAAAAAATATTCTGCACTTTTTTCTTAATGTTTTACACACTAATTATAATTTTTTAGAAAATTTATTGCCAAGGAAACTCCAAACGAAGCTTCCAAAACCAGTTTTTCTTTTGGTAAATTCAAACTTTCTAATTTTATTTTTATATAACAAACTTTACACGAGCATGCTCGAAGTTAAACTAAAACACTTTCAAACCGATGTTTCTCGACACTGGGCAACTTTATGGAAATTTTTTAATGCCGTTCGAATCATGGTCAAAATCTTTAAGATGATATATCACTCAAAATTTTCCAACGATGATTTGTGGTACTTGATTTTGCTTGGAAAACAGAATAAGGCCAGCAGACAATTGGAAAAGAGTCAATAAACGCAATGAAGGAAACAGAGAAAAAAATGACGTATTTTTGAAAGTCTCAACTTTCGAAATTCAAAGAAAAAAATAGATGTCTTTAAGGCTTTTTGATTTTCTAGAAAAATTTATGATTGACTTTTTTTGATAAAAAAAACTCAGCTTGAAAAAATTGGATCAAATGGTAAAGCTTTTATTCAGTGGAAAGAACTAGAAATTAAATTCCACGTTCGAAACTAAATTTCATTCATATTTTTGCGTCTTTTCCACGTTCGTATGTAGAGAGCGCATATTACCAAAGTTTCAGCAAATGAATTTAAATTGAACTTAAAAAGTGCACATATACCTAAGTGCATTAATAAATGCACTTTTATAAATGAATGCACATCTGTAGTTTAGTAGAGCCTTTAAAGACTTTTTCTTGAGAAAAAAAATAACCAAGACCTATACAAATGTCTTAAAAAACTTTAAAACATCAAAATACAACGTTCCTTCTCATTTTTAATTGTCGGAAAACAAACTGGATCCATAGGTAATTTTTTAAATTTCCACCGAGTTACCTACAAATTGAAATCCATGTTCAAAACTTAAGGTCAATCTTGTTTTTTCGCGTCATTTACCTTTTTGCTTTAGGAGAGCTTATTTTGCCTTCCTTTTAGCAAATGCGTTTGAATTGAACTTGAAACAAATTGAACTTCAAAAATCAAATCGAAAAAAAATCAGAAAAGAATTAACTACAACACTTTTTCCAAAAAAAAAAACACAAAGACGAGACGACGTAAATAAGAAATGTATACAATTCGTTCAGCAACAAAATTTCTTGGCTTTGGCGCCAGATTTCGTTAATTAACCTTAATTTTAATCAGATGTTTTATCAAAAAATAAATTTTTTGATAAAACATCTGATTAAAATTAAGACTGTTTTTGCTATCTTGTAAAAACGCGTAGGTTTAGAACGATTAAAAAGCAATAAATGACACATTTACCCTCCGGATATCTTGTCCACTCCATCTCTGTACATAATCTGGGTGGTGTAATTGTTGAGGTTGCCAGCAGATACATCTATCTTGTACGCGTGCATCTTGTCTCCCCAGTCCTTGGCCAGATTGTGCTTCGCACGGCGCACCAATCTAACAGAGTAAAAGAAAAAATGAGAACCAATATAGAAATATTTTTATGAAGAAAGCAAATAAATGAAAAACTTATCTTTTGAATGATAAGTTTTGAAATTATTCAACTAAATTATTTAACGGTACATGGTCACTGAATTGCCTGTCTTCTTTTTGTACATAAATTCTTGCCAATTATGCTTCTATTTGTCTCTGAACAATTTTCATAAATTCTTCGAAGTGTAAATTGAAGCCTTTTACAACTACTACTACTACTTAGCATTTAAAATTCGCTCAATTTTCGACATTCGGTTTTCTTGATGAAGCGTTTTTTTAAAGGGAGAGTAAAGCTCATTAAACGAAAAATACTTGGTTTGTTTGTCAATTTCGTCAATAGTTCGCTGCAGCAGGGCTTGAATCTTCTGAATGAGATCAACCTCCTGAAACAACATCAAAATTTCTATTTTCTGAACAATTTCTTGCAAATTTAGAGCTTAATTTTTTATAGATGGATCAACTAAAAGATGTTGGTGGAAGCAAATATGTTTTTTTTTCAAACTGAAATTGAAAGCCTTAACAATTTTTCAATTCATTCCTTTTACATTTTACAGCTAAAAAACTAATTAAAGACAGCCATAGTTACTGACCTTGTGTAGTTCTATTTCGACATTGTCATGGACGTGATCGACATTCTGTCTCCTCTCTCTGTTCTTGAGACAGTCAGTAGCAATCATAAGAGGAGTGGCAGTCGCATCCAAAGCTCTTTCCAGGCGAATCTTTTCTGCACGCAGAAGCTGATCCTCTAAAAAATCGAAATCGAATTTGTGATAACAATGACAAAAACTTTTTAGATTCATAAAATTTACTTCGTTAGTTTTCCTCAATTTTGCAAAACTCCCAGAAACAAAATGTTTACGAAATACTGCATGTTACTTCCAATAGTTTTTAGCTTTTATCGTATGCAATACAACGAAATCGTAGCATTACAAGCTAGTAGATAAAAACTAAGACGGAAATAAATAGTCGATGAAAAATAGTTAAAAACAAAACAGTACTTTGGAAAAAAATAGGATTTAATGTCAGAAAAACAATCAAGAAACACAACCACCAGCATAAAATAAGAGTTTAGTATTTATCGAGCGGCCACTTAACCTAAAAAAAAAGAATGAAAACAAAAATTAAATTAAGAAATTGTGGTCAGAAAAAACTTAGAGCGATTAAGTTTTACACCAACTTTTAAACTTAATAAATCTTTTACTAAACAACCGACCTGAATTATCTTTTAGAAAATAAAAATTAGGCGTTGCCCTTTGAAAGACTAAAAAAAATTAAGTTGACTAAGGCAATAAAATATAATCGGAAGCTATTCAGACTAAATAAAACTTTTGAACGAAAAAAAGGAAAACATACTAAGCCAGGGTAATAGTAAACATACATATTACAGGAGCAAATTGCAAAACAACGCTTGCAACTATAATGAAAATTGCTGACAGCGCAAGAAAAATCAGTGATGTGGCAACTAAGCCGACAAAAGATACGCAGGTAAACGAAAGCCCGACGATTCGATTTTTACCGAAAAAAAATTCTTGAGTACTAAAAACATTATGGTGCAAAAGCAACTGCGTTACTGGTCTAAAACAAACGGTAAGGAGTCTGGAAGTCGTTATGGTTCAATAAAGAGCAAGTTAAATTTCTTACAAATTTTTGTAGAAAAAAATTGTTTACGGGGAAAAAACTAATTCTCAATTACAAGAAACTTGATTTCACGAGTGTCAAGAATTATTAAAAAGTTATAATTATGACTATATTTATCACCGCCGTGCGAAACACCGCCGTAATGAGATAATTTACCGTGAACCATTTCTTCGATTTCCCGATTAAGCTCGTCCTTCCAGTAGCCAATATCTCTGGATCTCTGTTGAAGTTTCTTTGTAACATCCTTTTGGGTGCGTTTAGTCTGAGCATCAGTTGCATGAATCAGATTTTTACTCTCAAACCTAAAATATCAACCTAAATTAATGAATAATCGTAAAATAGGAACGGTTTTGGTTTATGCCTATAATCAGACAAAGTCAAGACTAACCTAGTTTTTTCCGAATTGTCGCGGTCAGCAAAAGCTTGGTAATATTTGTTGTAGTTATTCTGGTGCCATTGTTTCGGTGTATGGTTTCCCTTATTAAAAACAGTTGAGACTTGGTCAGGGCAACCAGTAGCATCCGTCCCCGAAAAGGGACCGTGTGTATCTAGGCCTAGTTTCGTTGGCAGTACTGATCGTGTTTCCTCGAAGTCATGGAAGCCATATATTCCTAAAAAATTAACAATCAGCGAATGTGTCTTCAGATCAAATAAATAAATGGCGCATTCAACTTTTGCCCGCAGTATAACAGATATTTAAGCGCTGCACATCGATCGCCTGAAACCACATCTCAACACCTGGGAGGAATACCACCAGCGCTACCTGACCATCAGGGTGAATAACTGTTTCTTTCGTTGTTGTGAGGTTTCCTCGTCACGTGATGCTATTTCGCATTCCATGTTGCTTTTTATTTGATTTTTGATGTTGTTAAATTTGCACGTGTCAGAGTTAAACTCTGATAATGAATTTTACTCAAAAACGTTTCATGCAATAAACCCTGATTCCTATTCCGTTTTCCTACAGATAATTGAAGCTTTCTACAAGTTTTTATATACAACGATTGCATTATTGTGACTTAATTGCTTTGGTTTGGTTATAATTTGAAACATGATGCTTAGATTTCAAATTTAAAAGTAAAATCTGACACGAACATTAAAAATCAGAGAAGATTAAGCATCTCCTCAGCTTACCAGTGGAAAAAGAATGAGCTCCATGCCTCGTGGCAGTAAAGTTAGTGTCAGCGTGTGCTCTACTTTGGGTATAGGAATGAACAACCTCGTAATCTGGCAACTTTGTGGCCCCTGTTGCCGACCGTGATATGCTTGCTAGCGCCATTAATCTGAAATTCAAACTTCGAATGAAGAGTCAAACGTCAAACTTAGAGCCAAACAGCTTGATTACTAAATTTTTCATTGTAGTCACTGGTGAAAGTATTTTTTTTTGCTTTTCATGAGAGATCAAATGAAGAAAAAATCCACACTTATCATCTTGGTGCTCGATGAATAGAACGACAGAACATTAAGACGACATGATAATGAGACGATCAATGAGCGCTATAACATTTAAAATAAGCTTTTTCCGAGTTTAAGCAGTTTCTATTTCTCAGAAATACAAGAAGACATGCGCGTAGCGTCGCCCTTAGGTCTATCTAAAACGGTTGACCTCTTAGTAGCTGTCGTCTTGCTCGCCCGAATTCTTCAAAATTTGTTCATGCAAAAAATATTTGTAGGTCAATAGTGGAAATCAAGTGTTCGTTTAGAAGTATGGTCCCGAATAGATCCCTATGGTTCCATATATAAATCAGACAAAATACTTGTTTAAGTAAGTTTCTGAGTTTTTCCGAATGGTTTCAAAAATGTTTCGCCAAAACGGGATTCAAACGCTCGACCCTTATGTTGACAGACGCTTGACTTGTTACTCGTCCCACGGCTGCTCGCGATTGGTTTGTTATACAGTTGGATTGTATTATAGTGAATACCTTTGGCTGATTTGACGTTTTGTCATTGCAGTCACTTTTTTCGATAATTCCATAATGAATTTCCATAGGTCCCAATAATCATAGCACCCAAATTAAAAAAAACCGTCGCATGAGTCCAAAAAATTATCTTCTTGAATTCCGATTAGTTGAAATTTGAGCCAAGGAATTTATGGATTGATTGTTTACTGTTCAAGCAGCATAAACTCAAGCTGCAGCATAGTGATCGCCGCAGCCGCGCCAACGTGTTGCGAGCTTGCCAACAGAGGGTAGGACTCTATATAAAATGTAGAGCCGGTTATCGCCGCAGAGCGCGCCCACCGGTGACATTAAACGGAGACCCGGCTAATTCAGTCTTTTGACCATTTGAAAAGATTTCATTATGCGACTGCTTTTTTATTTTGGGACCTATGGGACTGATTTTTCATTTTGAGACCTATGAATACGCACCAGTTCCACGGTGTACAAAAATCTAGTATTAAATCTAACTAAAACGCCCATCAAGTTCTCCTTTTGTTTACGTCCACTTGAAGAATTTCAAATAAATTAAGTGTTTTAGCGGGACCAATTTTCTAAACGAGTTTTTCGAATGAGACTCATCAAAAACAGCAGAACCATACTTCTAAACAAGTACTGTCGGTACTACTTTTCTAGTTTATTCCCTCAAAGTAGCTGTGGTCTCTCTTAAAAATCATTTGAGCTTCCAGATGCTCAAAATTTAAGTCAAGCCGCATTTGTGACACAAACAAACTAACAGTTCAGGCTACGCAAAAATTTAGGCGTGGCTTTTCTCACACCTAAGCCGGGTCCGAGTATCAATTCTAATTGTCATCCTACAAATCTAAGCTTACAAATTTAATCTAAACAAAAAAAAGGATCAATCAACTAAACTTGTTTTGTTGAGGGACCAATTAAGTAAATAAGTAACAGTGAATCTGCTCATCTGATGGTCAGTCACGAAATATAAACGTAAAGTTCCAACAACGCATTATTTTGAATTAAGCTCAAGCTTTGATACAATGAATGTAAAAAGGTCGTTCTTTCGATTCTTTCAGTAAGAAACTTAGGTAAACTAATTTTGTGGTACAAATTAAAACAATCAAGTTGTTCTTAAAAAACCAAAAAATAATCGCCCCATGTCGCATTCAAAAACAAAATGGAGCGATAGTCAATAATCGTAGAAATTAAGGGAAACAGAGAGAAAAAAATAATTTCGTCCACAATGCGACGAAGTATATAGATTTAAAATACCTTATTTAAATCCGTAAGGCAATGGTAGCCATAAAAATTTTGGTTTTAAAACACACCTGTCTGATTTCGTCCTGATAGTGAAATCGAAAATTCATAAATTAAAAAGAGACAAATAAAATTTTGATTTAAAAGCCCCGATCAGGCAGTGTTTTTGATTTTTGCCCTCTCAGTTCTGCATTTGAAAGAGCACAATCACAATCAATTTTTTTTTCAAGAATATCCGAGTGAAGGCTTTTTTTGCCCGCAGGAGTGAAACTAAGTCATGAGTCAACAACAACTCATAAGCTGATTGAAACGGAGACAAAGTTCAGAAATGCGCTAAGAGCAAACAAATCGACGGAAAAAACAAAACAAATCCAGTTAATCGAAATCATCACTCCATTCTCGGCAGAAATTGTCAAGTCAGCCAAAAATTTGTCTTCTACTGGAACAGTTACTCCACAACGCCACAACCATTCAACAGAGACACTTTTGACCTGATTGTAAAAAAAGCTCAACAGATTATGATAATATCAAAAACAATCACTGTCACAAAAGATGACCGCAAACTGCATACACTGACAGCTATTGCTCCTCCCGAAGCAGAGCAATTTATAACCAGCATGAAAAGCGAAGGAATCATTCTACTTAACAGGACGGTATTTCCCCTGGAATGCTTTCCAAGGTCTCATAGAACGAAGAACAACTACCCTAAGCTAGCCAAAATCAAATTGTCGAGTTTGCCTTATGTATGCAACGATATCGTGGCAAAAGTCTTTCTTCAATTACCTGAAGACATAATTCATAGCCCTATAATGCAACGAAAAAATTGACAAGTAGAAAGATCTTGTAAATGATGAATATCTTTTTCAACCGCTAGCTTTTGAAATTCAGGGCGCGGCCGGCCCCAGCACAGATTTTTTTTGAGCAAACTTTGTATGAACCTAAGCATATGCACTGAGGAAACCAGAGTAGGCAGCTTTTTAAAACGGAGAATCTCCCTGGCAATACAGATTGCGAACGCCGCTTGCGTAATCGGAACAATTAATGACAAAATAAATTTCGACGAAATTTTTTATTTGTAACAATTGTATATTATATTTTCTCGTGTCGAGTTGCGTGTTCTTATTTAAGAAAAGTAACCCGTATAGATTTTAATTGAAAAGGACTTAAACACTTGTCACCTTCTTTTATCATTATCACTTCCATATCTAGAAAATTCCAAGGATTTTGACTGGAATACGTGATGAAGGGACTCCTGCTGTAACCTCGGTTACTATGATACTTTTGACCTTCTGATTAAAAAAAAGAAAAAAAAGAAAAAAAAAGAAAAAATGAAAAAGAGAAAGAAAAAAATCTAAAAATTTGGTTAAGGAATCTTAAATAAACAGTGCAGCAATTCCAAGCGAAAAAAATCCAAAGGATAAGGATCTCAACAATCAGTTCGTAGATTTTCATTCTTATTCTGCCTTGCTTATAAAAAGAGAGCGTGAAATTTTACCAACCTCTTGGTCAGTTGTAACACGAAAAAAAAGGCCTGAAATGAAATCTAATAAATCCGGAGAAGACTTGGTTGGATGGAAGTTTTAGCAAATTTTCTCTGCGAAAAACCATATACTTTTTCCATTAACATTTTGAGCATATTAAATTCAGGTAAATTATACTAACTTATCAGAAAATGTCAACCATAAGGAAAATCGTCCAATTTCATTTTGTGCGATCAGGAAGCAAAAATACCAAATCTTACAACCATACATCTGAGTTTACTGGATAAATACATTGTTTTATTTGATTTTAAACCAACCTCAAATACTTTTGGTGGTTTCTTGAAGTTATGGTCATCAAACTTGAGTGCTGCAAAAAAAATTGCTACAAAATTTATCCAACTCAAAGAACAAATTCTTGATTGTTTTGGCTTTGTTGATTTCGCACTCAAGAATATGTTTGTGACTATACACATTATGACAAACTATATAAAAATTTTGCGCGCTTAGACTATGTTTTTATGAATTTCGAAACAGAGTATGACTCTATGCAAAGCACTCAAATATCAATCTCTGATCATTTATGCTTACACGTTTTTGCTAGGCCATCAAACTTGTATCAGCGCGGCTCCAGTTACTGGAACATTAAATGAAGAAAATTTGGAAAAAAATGCCAGCCTAATTCGTAAAGATCTAAAAAAAATTTGAAAATGAATCAAAAGGTAGTTACGAAAAGTTTATCCAGAATTTTTGCGACCTTCTGAAGTTTATTTAAGAGAACAAAAATTGTGTAGATCATAAAGAAATCAATAATTTGAAGTATCATGAAAATGTTCTCAGAGATTGCATTCGGAGCGGAAAAAGTCCGAATCCGAGTTTAGTTGATAAGTATCATTTAGTGCTGGAATATCTTCAGAAGGTCTCAAAGGAAAAGATTTTTTTTTTCAAATTTTCGAAAAATTCAGAAACCTCTCAGCTATACTTTTGAGGGTGTGCCCAAATGTTGTAGTCAATGGACCTCGAAGAACACAATTAACTCAGTCAAGCGAGTTCAAGTGGATCAGAACGTTCATCATGCAGATGATGATATTCTTAAACATTTTCGAAAGTTATTTCCAAATAAAGTTTCAAGTAATTTTCAATTTTACAACAGACTCCGAAAAACTACTAATGACGTTTTCATCAAGCAAAGAACTAGAAAATGACGTGAATGATGGCTACAATTACTTTACAGAAGGTGATTTTCACTTGGCTATAAACAAACTGAATTTGAAAAAATTGCCTAGACCAGACGGCCTTACATCTCGGCTACACAAGGTTCTCACAGATGAGTTTTGTTCAATTTTAGCTAAAGTATTGAATCAATTTGTTCAAGGCGGAAGTTTTTATATAACATTAATCAAACTGCTCCCGAAATCAAGAAAATGCCATAACATTAATAGAATTTAAAAAAGACCTTTGCAAGGTTGTAGAAAACTATCCGCAGGTGTCTTTGCCTGGAAGAAAAATGCACACAGCAATAGAAAAAATGATTCCAGAACGTTTGGCTAACCGATGCTCATATGCAATTAAATTAGACTTTTCTAAAGGATTTAACAAAGTTGACAGATCACGTCTCATTAAAATTTTGAAAGGGTTGAATCTTGATGATT